ATATATATATATATATATATATATATATATATATGGGCAATTTTTTTCATGGTATATATACATATACAGGGCTAGCTCTCCAAGCACTTACTATAAAGGTACTTTTTAACAGCTCAAACTACTACATTCTTCCCCTTTCATAAACAAGGCCCATCTTTGCCCATAACTTCAAGGTCATGGGATGGCCATTACTTAGTCCCCAATGTCGACTTAACATCCTAAAACACCTCTATTTTTGCCCTTTTTGACTAGTTTTTTACAAGTTCCCTTTCTGGCAAGTAAATTACCTATGAATTAAAAAATTTTGCAAATGAATCGTTGTTGTTACAGTAAAAATTAAAATACAAATTATTTTTAGTAGGCTTTTTAATAAACAAAACAACAACATTCAAGAATATTAGCAACCTTCATTTGCAGTTTATTTCTTAAAAAACTGATCAAGTGTTCCTTGCTTGAACATTATGAGGTTGGTCCCAGGGACCGAGCCCGCGTTGAAAGACTTAATGACGCATCGCGTTATATCCAAATTCGCATAAAATTGGGGTTTCACTGTATATATATATATATTTGTTTTTTTTTCTTGCCTCAGATTTTAACCCAAGAACTTACATGCCAGGGAAATATCTACTGAGCTAAAGGGTTGATCCCTAGCACTTGTTAGTAAAGCACTATTAGCAACACAACCTACTACTTATATGATTTTTAACATTATATTCATGTTCCCAATACATCTTCTTAGATCAGCTCTTGGGCTATTGTATACAGGACTACTAGTTCATAAGAATAGAAAAAACATAAGGAGACAGAAGCCCGTTAAGCATATCAAAATCACTCTTCAATCACAAGTAAAAATAGAAAATAGTCATTCTCAACTATATATATCCCACAAAATTTTCCAGAAATATAAAACATGCATATCAAAACCACATACCACATTAACAGACAAACCATTTCACAAGTCAAGATGTATAACTCACACTTTAATAAAAAAAAAGTATTTCAAATAATAAGCCTGAACCTAGACTTCCAAAACTCAAATTCATTACCAGTACTACTAAAATAAATGTAACAATATAAGAATAACTTTTAGAAAATTATGTTAAATTGAAGACTAATTATTTGATTGTCAAATTTAATATGTTCTCTTAAAGAACCATTAAAAATTTACATAAAATACCAAGTATCATAAAAGTTTCTCAATTTTGTTTATAAGAAAATTTAAAAATCCACATTTCCAGTAAGTAACCCATCACTTCAATCACCATGAAATGGAATAAAATATTATTACGTTTCTGGCACTCGCATTTATTTATGACAGTTTTTAATTCATATAGTACTGTGTATATGAAGTACTCCAACTTTGTAGTACATTACTGGAAATGAATGACCATACAGTGACTAAAATACTAAAAAACTGTAATGATACATATAAAATACAACATTGTACTGTTATGAAGCAGGAAAAAATAGTTTCCATCTTCCACCATAATTAGTAATCAAAATAAATAACTTTTATTTTTTTTTGTAAACACAGAATACATGTATCTAAGTAACTCATATTCTTCTCATAATTGCAATTTTTTTTTAATACCAAGAAAGGTAATACACATTATAAGACCAAAATAAACTTATTCTATCCTTTTCTAAAAATCTTTGAGAAAATAAAAAAGGAAATTAAGTCCAAGATAACTGATTCTTCATTGTGTATCAATAAGAAGTGTTTAGATCAAATAAGAGATTCACGAGGGAAAAAAGTGCATAATGGAAGTAAATATTTAACATGTTTAACTGATACTAGTTAAATTATTTATAATATCATAAAATATCTCTCACTTGACTGAATTCCATGCAAAAAGTTTAGGTTTGTACGAGTTTCCTTCCTGCAGTCTTACATGACTGATGATGTTACCACTTTCTACATGTAACATTGTAAGATATGTTTGTTTGCCCAAAATATGATCTTTCAAATAAGATTTTTTGCCTGATTTGTAATGACATCAGTCAGATTTTTTATTCATGAATGTCTATATCTACAGCAAATATTGCAAAAACCTTATAATGACAGTAAATATCTTTGTCTGTAAAAACCAGTATTATGCACTACCCCTTCCATGAGAGTCTTAGTTAGTTGTAACTTGTAGTAATTATGTTTTTGCATAAAACAGCAGGAAAAATAAGATACAAACTGTAACAAGATACTGACAAAGAAATTACATATGCTTTTACTAAACTGAAAACATACTACAAAACTAAAAATGTTTATCAGAAGAAATAATTTAGGGGTTTTGTTATTTTGAAGGTTTAAAATCACAGCTGTTCAAATACACACATTTATATATCTACATATGCACAATTATGAGAGAGGGATCATAATACTTACGGATCGTCATAATCTGGTCCACGACCATTACAGTATATGGGATTAAGTTCATCTTTGGGAAAAGCATATTTCATGTAACTGTCATATGCAAACTGGAACATAAGTTTTGCTTCATTCAGCATTTCTAAACGCATCTCCTCTGTGAAAGCCCCATACTTTTTGTCATATACTCCTGGTTTATAATAGAAAAGATCATAAACATTCCAACTGGACTTAGTATTATTATCAATATTAGTAACGTTGTTACTGTTAGCAGAGCGGCAAGTTGATATCTGTCCTGAAGTTAAGCCTGACAGTATTACTATTAGCAGCATCAACAGTATGTCCGCTTGTCTGGCAGATAATTCTAAATAATACTTTTCCATTTCTAATCATCATTTCCCGAGAAATGAAAAAAGTGAAACTATTGGTCTCTATTCCAACCTATTAACTGTTACTTATATAACCGAGCAATATGGCAATAAGTGGAAGAACTTGAAAAGCGGAAATAAAACGTCGTGGTGTTTAATTTTATGTTACGAATTTTAATCATCCTAAGTTACACTTATGTCGTATTTATGTCACAAGCTCAAATTCCAACGCCGTATTACTACGATACCTCTTCCTACCACCGTAGGAGTGGCATAGACTGTGTTTACGTGTCATTGAACAAACGGTCTGTTGGTTATCAATGCGCCACCAGCTGGTTGTACGAATATAAAGAGGAATAAAACACGTGGGAGTATTTACTTAGCTACGAAATGGTTGCAATTAACTATATATAATAATAATTTCAGAAGAGAAGTTTCATCTTTTATATATCTATGAGTTGAAAAATTATTGCAACCATCCTGTTTGACGAAGCATATATTTTGAAAATATTATTAAGTCATCATACACGAAACTCAGCTTGCTCAGCTGTAAGCCTGAGAACTTGTAATACTAAATTTTGAGGATCGATCATCGTGGTGGGCACAGCATAGTTAACCCATTTTGCAGGCTTGCGCTTAACAACAGACAAACAGCACCTCACTGTGTTTTTAACTGTAAACTTAGTTAAAATATCTTTCTCCTTAAACATGGTGACTCCGTTCTTACTAGAGGGTAGTTAGGAGCATTTTGGTAAATGCATTATATTTATATTTCATTGAAACAACCTTTGAAAAAGTAAGAAAACATATCAAATTTATTGAAAGGATGTTCGCTCTTTTGTTTTTGATGTTCAGAAGTTGTTAGAATGGTGTGTAAAATTTTTTCAATGGGCAAATGATTATTTCTCTACCTCTTTTTTACTCGTTCATGTACACTGATAGCTTGAACGCTTTGTAAAATAAATTTTTGGCTCTAGCCTAGCGAAGCCCTTAGTTTCAGAGAAATCTGATGAAGTTCACGATCGTACATATTGTTACGTCTCCGTTTGTTAATTAACTTTCCGTAACTTCGTTCCGACGAAACTTT